CGAAACGAACTGGGTTTTCGTGATTATGGAAAAAAAATCAATGAACACAATCGACCTTACAGTAGCTACCATTGTAAATGAAAACATTCCGTTACAAGAACTTCCTCAAGAACCAGATCGAGTAAGTGATATCATAGAAGACCTCGTCCAAGACAGAGAGGTGTAAACAGAAGGGCTAAACTTTAAAGAACATGCTGCATTAGACAAAGCGTAAAAGGAGCCCTTATATTAAACCAGACAAAAAAATACAACAGACCAAAAACGAATTAGACCAAGCGCAATCACCAGAAGATCACCAAGAAATTAGAGAATGCCTAAAGGATTTAGAGGGAGAAAGATGAGGTAGGCTAAAAGTCATAAACAGAGACACCGATTGCTTAAGAACTCAAATCAATCGCATCAAAGAAACGATCGAAGCGGTGAGACAACAATCTGACTCTATAAGATAAATCCGTATGCTGTTTTGAGAACAAGGTGTGACAATCATACATGTAAGTATATTGACGTTTTTTAGTTTAGCAATTTCAGCAATCGTGAGCTCTGTCATAGCTGGTATCAGAGCCGTAGGAGCTCCAACACCAACTGCAACACTGGCACCTGCTCCTACCCCCACATCACCCACACCAGGTTTTAAAAATTGGATCCAAAGTTAGCTGCAAAACTTGGCTAACGTGTTAAAAAACTCGGTGTGTCTGCGTTAGGGGCTTTGCCTGGTATCATCGGGAGCATACTTTTTTGGTTGTTTAATGTTACGAGTAAAGTTGTCGGTTGGGTAGCGGAGCATGTGTGGACTTTGTTTTTAACGGTTGGTGCTTTGGTGTTGGGTTATTTTAGTTTTGGTAAAAATTAAAAAGTTAACACCCCGTCTAAATTGGACAATGTGTTAAAGTTCGTTTAATCTTTTTTTGTGAGCGGGCCAGCTCGCTAAACGCTAGCTAGTCCCCCCTTGGGCTACTGGCAAACCAAATCAAAGCCAGTGGAATCGCAACCACACCAAGCGTCATTTTTTTGTTTAGGTGAATGTCTAGCTAGGTAGACGTTTTGCTCTCGTTAGCAGCTTTTGGTTTGGTGTCTTTTGTAATGGGTGGTGGTGGTGGAGCCGTTTGGTTTGGTTGCACTGCTGTTGAAATGGGTGGTGTTACTTGGTCTTGTTCAACATCGTCTGGACGTGGCTGTGGTGAGAGTAGAGCGCTTTGCATATTAACATCGGGGTGATAGCCCAGCTTCATGCTATACATGTAGGTCGCGATCTGCAAGTTGTTGTAACCTTCACATGTTTCGATTCAGAGATCCATGTCTGAGGATACGAGGTACAAACTGGGTGATACCACAAAGTTCAAAGGTGGAGTTGAATCTTTGATGACGTATGCATGTGGTTTGTGCTCAACACTAAAGTGCCCAGGTCATTTCAGAGGCTCAATTCTGTTGATCAAACCTACAATTCACTCTTCCAATTACATGTAAATAGAATAACCAATCAAATTACTGGCAAGTATTATATCAATGGAAAGCTCATACCCCAACCATCCTTAAACCACTTATGCCAAGGCCACTGGACTGCGACGGGGCAAATGTCAGTGTGCTCTGATGGAACAAAGTGAACTCTTTGGGGGGAGGCCCTGCTGATTTGTCGTCGATTTCAGAAAATGAATTATTATAGAAAAAACTGCCCGTCATTATCAGGTTGCGAAAATTGCACATCTCGGGAGCCCAACACCACATCTCTTGGGTGGTGCTTGAAGCAAACAGCAAATTCACCTCTCAAGAACCTCACAAGTGTTTCTACTCGCTGAATATAATATCAATATTTTATCCAAATTCTCACATTTTAGCTATTAAGCTGTCTTACATGTACATGTACATGCAGGGGTTGTTCATGGTCTTGATCATAAGTGAACAGTATTTTCATATTGATATGAGTCCATGGGCTTTACACTATTATTTTGTGCCAGTCATGAGTCTAACTTTGTACACTTATGTGACGTACTGTGCGGTACTTTACTGTGGCGGAGGTGACAATCTGCCTCTCTCTAGCAGTAGTTTGTTCTGTCAGAACATAAAGTTCACATTTATTTAAAACTTTTTATTTCTCGTTCGTTGTTATGCTCAGTTTTGGCCTGTTTATATTAACAGATTTAGTTCGTACATGTACGTAGTTTATGTGGGCCAAGTCTGGGCTCCAACTTACAATAGGTCAAAAACCTGTGATTTGGAGCGCTTTTCTTTGTCGTGTTTTTGTGAAAGTTTTGTGGAAAGTTTTAGTATGTGACCTGTACATGTACATGTACACGAAGCGCAAACTCTGTTTCATGTTTAGGCTTGATGAGTATAACATGTCTATGAAGTGTTCCATTGTGTATTCTCTACACAAGTGAACTCTGCAGAGAGAGCAGCTTGCACAGTGCCCATGTCTTGTCCTTTTATCCACACCTGATATTTTTTCCCTTCTACCCATATTTTACAAATTTATCAGTGGCTATAAGCCATGAACCGTTCTGCACTTACATGTATAATTTAATTTCTAGACCATACATGTATATGATGTACATGTATGTCACTAGGTAAGTGTATTCATTACTTCTCAATCAATTTATTACAAACCTAAACCAGCCAGTGCTTTATCGTCAATCCATTTAAGTGTTGATTCCATGTACTAAGGTCTACGAGTGTGTAATTTCCCCACTTCTTTCTTAATACTGGAACAGTTTTTCTGAATTGCAGTTTCTCAACTTAATCTCAAAAAGCAGTAAATTATAAATTCTAATCTACAGTGAGGATAATTTCTTTGAACTCATTCTTGGTATGTATTGGGATTATTTTAATTGCTAGAGAGGTCAATCCTTAACTTAGAACCTAGGCGTACCCACCACCATGGGTAACACCACCCATCAGCAAAACCCTGACATCAGCAAAACCCTGCTGAACGCCGCCTTTTTGCAGGGTATCATCCTATCAAACACCATACGTGTACCAGAATGCAAAAACTATGTACGGTATTAGTCTCACCACGTTATTTCACGTACAATATTGCCAACTGTAAAGTTCTGCTTATTGTAAGGCCAGCAAGAGCTGATTGCAATCCAAGTACATGTACATGTACATGTACATGTTACCAATTAGAGTGACATGTTTATTAACAAAGTATTAACTGGGCACTGAGTAAAATATTTTGGTTGGATCTGTAAAAAATTATGTTGACAAAACAAAGTAGTTGTATGGCAATAAAGCTTGACAGGGGCTGCCAAGACAACAGGCCAAAAGAGAAAAAACCAAGTTCAGTGTCTGGCCTTTCCTCTACAGCCAATAGAAAGTGCCATAACTAAAGGTACGTGTACATGTACACATATGTACATGTACCTTGATACTCCATTGTACCCTTTCATTGCATTTCTCCTTGAAGTACATGTACAGTTACAATTTTGAGTTTTGAACAATTCAAGAAAAAACACTGACATTAGACATTGGTATTCTGACACAAAACTAAACCTGAAACTAACCAATATGAAATGAGATTTGACATCCTCAGTCATACATGTACATGGAGACAGGTACAGGTATTTTTATAGAGTCAGGTTTTGAAAAGTGGTAAATACATGTACATGTATAAAGTTGAAAAATAGTTGAATATTTTCAAAATTAAAAATAGAAACTGATTCATGTAGCTTCCCTTTAATCAGATATACATGTAAGTACATGTACATGTACATGATGTGAATTGGAATGCAGTAAGTATGCAACAAATAACATCGCTGTGCACATGTACATGTATGCATGCATGATGCATGTATTACAGTGACATAAACCTTTCCTGAGACAAGACGAAAATGGCCTGATAGAAACTTACCCCTTTACTGCCTTCATGAATTTCCTGCTCCGTCGGTCAACTGTTCATCAGCACACGCTGTCAACCTGAATGGTGTCCTTTAATAACCACCAAATGAGTGACCAAGTGAAATGGGTGGGCGTGGTCTATCTGCTGGCTCCCTCCTATGACAGCACAATGGTGTCAGTACAGAGACCAGCACAGATGCGTTCTCAATGTAATCCTGAAAAGCAACAGAAGAAAAACAACTTTAATCAACTGATTGTGGATGATTTACACACGCATGTAAATGTACCCTGTATTCAACCAAAAAGCTAATATACTGGAATCTCCTTACTTCTCCAGCAACCCAACATTTCAGTCAGGAAGTTTATTAAAGGAAATATCGGTAATTTCCAAATATAAAACTTCACTAAAGTCATCAAAAGAACACACCCATTTATGATGAATATATACTAAAGAAATTAAATATGTTCATTTGAGTGACTGGGTACAAATTAGAACAAATTTGTTTTCTTCAAGAATGAAGGGCGGAATGTACAGCTGTGGAATGGGTGGAGGAATGTGTACTGGAATTGTTAGTGATGCATGTAGCATACCCATGCGGGGGGCACGCAGGGTATAGGAGATTCACTTCATGTTGGCAGGGATGTGATTGAAGGATTGTGAAAAAAACTTAAACTGTGAGCACAAAGCGCGAGGCCATTACGGCATTGGGTTTAAAGCTTAAAAGTTTAAAGTTTAGATGCTCTGTGGTGCATTCTAAGCCTCTCTGGGGCATGTTTTAAACAAAAATATTTTGAAATTGTTTTGCACAAAAGTTCCACTAAAACAAAACAGGAGAAGCCTGCAGCCAACGGATCATGCATGTGTTGCCATCGTTCTCATGTGTGAGTAGTCAAATCACGTGTGTATGGTTTACACAGCGGTGTGCATACGTACGACGCTGGGCTCGATACGATCGCCGGGTTTCATATTTTACTCACATATAATGCATGCAAAATACCAGTTGGGCTAGGGGTCTTGGAAAAAGCACAAAAACGCAGACCCCTTTGATTTTATATCTATATTTAACTCATTTAAGTAACAGGTGTAATTCCCCAGCACCAATTATTAAGGTGGTAACATCCATATCTTGGCAAACAAAATGGCTGGGATTGATGATCCTACGGTCTTTTCACTCGTAAAGTTTACTCTAGAAGGCCTTAAACGATGGCTCTCTAAATCAATTGAAAAGAAAAGGCCAGTACCTGCATCAGTTCTAAAGGAAATGATAAATTCTTACTTGTATAATGCAAACAAAGAGGCAGATCTTATGACATTAAGATCAGTTACAGGGTGTCTTTTGGCATACACAGGTTTTTTTACGATTTAGTGAACTTGCTCATATCAAGCTTTCTCATGTTTCTGTGGAGGTCAGACTTTGTCAAGTTCTCTCAGGTTTCCATACCACGCACTTTCTCACAAACCTTGAGTCCTACTACATGTACATGTAGTTCAACATAGTTCCGACATAATTTTTAAATCATTGTATTTTCTGTGTAAAGTGGCCCCGGTGGTTGTTCATGGTCATAATCATAAATTAACCGTATCTTCATCAATATCAGTCGGCAACAACGGGTTCTAGTCCATTAGATCATACCCGACATGAACGCATTCTTGTACGCTACGCCATACTTCACCATGGCGTATGTAACAATCTGCCTCTCTCTAGCAGGAGTTCTGTCAGAACGTAAGTTTACTTTTGTCCTGAACATTTGCGACTTGTATCATTCATTTATCATTATGCATACATGTAGTTCTGGCCTGTTTGCATTGACAGATTTGTCTGGTATTACATGTAGGCCAAGTGTGGGCTCCAAGTCAGTTCAAAAATTCGTCCTTTGGACTGATTTTATTTGTCGCGTTATTGTGAAAGTTTT